CCGCCGTTGCCAGGTCTACTTAAATGAACGTGAAATCCGTTGCCTCAAAGAGGCAGAAGGTCTCCCTTATGCTATGGCAGTTACTCATCTCCGCCTCCAAGGGAGACTACCCCGTGTTTCTTATTCTCGTGTTTCCAAACGTCCCCCCACTTCTGGGGTCCCATCTTCTGCAGCCTCCTCTGTTGTTACCCCTCCCATAGCCACTACGGCATCTAATCCTTTTGCTGTCCTTGGCTCTGACGTCCCGACTACAACTCAGTCTGTTCTCACATCTTCGCGTCCTTCCTCACAAGCCCCAGTATCGACAAGACCTCGTACGACACCTAATACCAATCGCCCCTCTACTCAGAAGTCCAAAAAATCCACATTGCTCAAATCTTCTTTGCCCCTTCCTTCCCTTCTTCTACCTCCACACTTTACCTTTCCAGTCTCTGTACCTAGTTCTTCCCCTCTCTCTGGCTCTATTACAAGTGTGGAGATTCACCCTCCTCCTCGTACTATGCCTTCCACCCCCGTCCCCTCCCAAGTTTCTCCCTCTTCTGCCACCTCCCAGGTTTCTGCCTCTTCTGTCCCCCCCCACACTTCATCTCCAGTCCCTTACACTTTTCCCTCCCCCTCTACTTTGGTACAGTCCATTACTGTCCCAATCTTACTCACCCTCCTCCTCTATCTCCAATATGGTTCTCCATACATCTTTGAATTCAGAAACCCTTGAAGCCATTTCAGAATATATTGCCAGAGACTAAACCTTCAATGGACACTGATTCACTTCCTGTTCCTTCTCTTCCCTCTCCTCCATCTTCACAGCCCCATTCTTCGCAACGCTCCGTTCCTTCGCTACTTGAACGTCTTCCAATGCCACCACACGTTGACTTTTCTAACCCCTCTAGTCCGTAGGTGCCTTTACCTACAGATTCCTGGTATTTTTCTTCATCGCCAATAATGGCCTATTTACAGTGGAAATATCCGCGGCCTCAGGGTAATCGGGGTGAGCTTCAGATGTTGCTTTCCAGGTTTTCCCCTGTGGTGCTTGCTTACAAAAAACCAAAATTACACTCGGCTGTTTTCCAACCTATCTCAGGCTATAATTTATTGTATTCTTCGGATCCTTTCTCAGATGGGACCTTTAATGAAAGTGCCCTTCTTCTACGCAATGATTATTCCGTACTGTCAACTATTTGTCCATACCTCGCTGCATTACACTGCACCCCGTATCCACTTGAATAAGTGGTTTACAATATGTTCTTTATATCTCTCTCCTTCTCGAGCATTTTCTATCCCAGACTTTGCCTTTCTTGTTTCATCCTTACCACCACCACTTCTGTTACTTGGTGATTTTAATGCCCACCATTTCCTCTGGGGGGGGGGGTTCATTGTGACTCACGTGGCATTCAGTTGGAGGCTTTCCTCGCCTCTCACCCCCTCCATGTTTTAAATACGGGTACTCCCACCCATTTTGATCCTCGTACTCATACTCTCTCTTGCATCCATCTATCGGTCTGCTCTTCCTCCACTGCACTAGACTTCACCTGGTCTGTTCTACCAGACTTACATGACAGCGATCATTTTCCGATCATTCTTACTTCTCCTTCCTATTCACCACCTTTCCGTAGCCCTCGCTGGCAATTTGATCAGGCAATTGGGATCTTTACTCACACCTCACTGTTTTAGTGAGGTTCCTTCTTCATCCTCCATTGATGGCTCCTACACATCTTCTCGACGTCAGTTTATACCGCAGCTTCTCATTCTATACCCCAAACCTCAGGCAGGCATTCTCAGAAGTGCGTGCCTTGGTGGTCTCCTGCTTGTGCTCGTGCAGTACGTTTGAAACGTGCTGCATGGGGCAGGTACCGGTACAATAGAACCGCTGAGAGACTTCTTGATTTTAAGCAGAAGCGTGCGATCGCTCGCCGTGTCATCCGTGAAGCTAAACGCATTGTTGGCGAGACTATGTTTCCACCATCACCTCTGCTTCTTCTATGAGTGCAGTCTGGAAAAAAGTGAGGAAATTGAGTGGTAAATACTCTCCTGACCCGGCTCCTGTTCTACGGGTCACTGGTGTTGATGTAGCAAACCCTCTCGACGTTGCCATTGAACTTGGCACACATCTGGTCCGTATTTCCCGAGGGCTCCATCTATGCCCCTCGTTTCTTTCCTCAAAGTCTGCCAGAGAGTTAGTACCCTTGGACTTTTCTTCTCTCAGAGAAAAACAGTATAATGTGCCTTTTACACTTCAAGAACTGGAGGCAACGCTCTCAGCTTGCGATCATCGGCAGCTGGGCCTGACGACATTCATATTCGTATGTTACAACATTACATCGGTCAGCCCTTGTAGTCCTCTTACACCTCTTCAATCTTATTTGGGCACAAGGAGTTCTTCCCCAGCTGTGGAAATCTGCCATTGTTCTCCCTTTCCGCAAACCGGGTACTACAGGACATGATGCCTCCCACTATCGCCCCATCGCTTTCTAGTGCAGTTTGCAAAGTGATGGAACGCCTCGTAAATCGACGTTTAATGTGGTATTTAGAGACTCACAACAGTCTCTCCGCTAGTCAATATGGCTTTCGTAAGGGTCGTTCTACCATAGACCCCTTACTACGCTTGGATACGTATGTTCGTAATGCCTTTGCGAATAATCACTCAGTTATTGCCATATTTTTTGACCTTGAGAAGGCATATGACACAACTTGGAGGTATAATATTTTGGCCCAGGCCCACTCCTTAGGCCTCCGAGGCAATCTACCATCCTTCCTTAAGAACTTTTTAATGACAGACATTTCGTGTTCGAGTCAATATGTTCTTTCCCCGGACTTCCTCCAAGCTGAAGGGTGTCCCTCAGGGATGTGTTCTAAGCACAACACTTTTTCTCCTTGCTATAAATGATTTGGCCTCTGTTCTTCCACCCAATATTTGGTCATCACTCTGTGTTGATGACTTCGCTATTGCTTGTGCAGGCGCTGACTGTCACCTTATTGCAGTTTCTCTCCAGCATGCGGTCGACCGTGTTTCCACTTGGGCCACCACACATGGGTTTAAATTTTCAAGTACCAAAACTCACCAAATTACTTTCACTAGACGCTCTGTTATCTCCAATCATCCTTTGTATCTCTATGGCTCCCGTATCCCCTAACGTGATACAGTCAGGTTTCTAGGCCTTCTCTTTGACCGTCAGTTATCCTGGAAACCTCACATTACCTCTCTGAAGGCAACTTGTCACAGCCAGCTAAACCTTCTTAAAACCCTTGCTCATCTTTCCTGGGGAGCTGATCGTCAACTCTGCTTCGCCTACATTCAGCCCTCGTTTTATCGAAACTCGATTATGGTGACCAGATTTATTCCGCGACCTCTCCTGCTACTCTCTCTAGCCTTAACTCTATCCATCACCAAGGCTTACGTTTGTGCCTTGGTGCTTTTCGCTCTTCCCCTGTTGAGAGCCTCTATACAGAAGCAAATGTTCCATCCTTGTCTGATCGCCGTGATGCCCATTGCCTTCGCTACTATGTACGCTCTCACGATCTACACAATCCTTCCATTTATAGAATGGTCACCGATATTAATAGACATTCTTTATTCGTTCGCCGCCCCTGTTTGCTCCGTCCCTTTTCTCTTCGCCTACATTCACTCTTGTCTTCCCTTCAGTTACCACCTTTATATGTTCATGTAGCATCTCACTTTTCCCTACCCCCCTGGGAAGTTCCAGCTGTTCGGGTCTGTTCTTTCTCACTCCCTTGCTCGAAAGCTCAACTGCCTATGGTGGCTTCCCGCTCTCTTTTTCTTGATCACTTCCACTCCCATTCTCATGCCACCGCTGTGTACACAGATGGCTCTAAGTCTTCAGACGGCGTCGGATTCGCAGCAGTGTTTCCGGACAGCGTCGTACGGGGTCATTTACTATCTTCAGCTAGCATTTTTACTGCTGAACTGTATGCCATTCTTGCAGCACTTATTCGTATCGCATCTATGCCTGTGTCATCATTTGTAGTAGTCTCAGACTCCCTTAGTGCTCTACAGGCTATACGAAAATTTGATACATCTCATCCCCTAGTTCTCCATATCCAACTTTGGCTACGCCGTATCTCTACCAAACAAAGATATTGTTTTTTGTTGGGTCCCTGGTCATGTCGACGTACAGGGCAATGAACAGGCAGACACTGCTGCGCGGTCAGCAGTACATGACCTACCAATTTCCTATCGAGGTGTTCCATTTCTGGACTATTTTGCTGCAATAGCTACCCACCTTCGCACCCGTTGGCAACAACGTTGGTCAAAATCTGCTCGGTAACAAACTTCATTCTATTAAACCGAGCATAGGTTACTGGCCGTCTTCTTGTCATCAGTGCCGAGGTTGGGAGACCACTCTCTCCCGCCTTCGCATTGGCCACACTCGTCTTACTCATGGGTATTCATGGAGAGGCACCCTGTTCCTCTCTGTGAGCAGTGTCAAGTTCCAGTATCGATTAGCCACATTCTGTTAGACTGCCCTCTCTATCAACGAGCACGCAGAATTTACCTCCAACGTCGTCTTCGTTCTACTACTCTCTCTTTACCTTCCCTTCTTGCTGATGGACCCTCTTTAATCCTGACTCTCTCATTGACTTCTTGACAACGACTGATTTACTCCACAAACTCTGATGATACTTTTCGCACTCCCCTCAGCCCTTTCTAGTTCAGTCTCTTGCTGCCCTTTACCCTTTCACCATCCACTGCCCCGCTGTTATCCGTAACCTATTACTCATCCATCTCCCTTTTGCCACCTGATGCCCTCGCTTCCTTCCTGCCCTGCAGCGCTGTATAGTCCTTGTGGCTTAGCGCTTCTTTTTGATTATAATAATAATAATAATTTCTCACATCTCTCCCAGCAGTGCTGTATGATCCTCTCAGGTTTAGCACTTTATTATATTATTAGTGCCAGATGAGCTTGCTGGTGATAAAAGTTTTTTGACACAAAAAGTAGTTACTTGAAGTACATGCAATACATTAAATGGGTATCAATAAACTGTATCATTTATAAATTTATTAAAAATCCTAAATATTCTCTTAATAGCACAACTAAATACATGACTGGCTGCTTGCTGTACTTTCATAGTATCTTGAACACAGTAAACACAATTATCTTGTTAGAATACAGTGAATATAACTTGGTATAATGGGCCAATAACCAAGCTTCTTATATATTGTACTGTATCCAAACTAGCAATTCACAGGATGTCAAAACATCTACATAATTTAATGAATTTGTAACATCAATGATATGTAACTTGCTTGTATTACATTACTTTTCCTAAAGTCTGAAAAATATATCAATATGAATTTTATACGATTGATTCCTAAACAGTTTCTATAGTATTTATTTCCTGATATTCTTGTATAAATATATAAAAATCACAAATCCAGCAAGTATATAACAGTAAACAAGTGCTATTTTTTTCTTAAGAGGTAGTGAATAATACCATGAACCACTACTGTGGAATGGCATCCTCCCAAGCAAGAAAGGCAGATTTGATCCAGGGCTCTTATATAGCAGAAACTGCCATGTAAAAGTTACTGTAAATCCTTTCCTACCTTGTATCCTCTTACAGGTAAATATGGTTAGTAAAAGATACAAATGCACATCACTGCTGCTAAACCACTGCATGTCATTACCCTGATCATTGATATTTGACTTAAAACTACTGCATGTTTTGCATCAGACTATGAAAGATGTTTAGAGGATTTGAAAAATGTAAGAAAATTTTAATATTGTAAATCTACCTTTCTACAAACTTGCAAGAAAATTAAACATTGGCACAAAATTTAAGAGCTCTTAGATATCAATTTTTTTTTAATGAACAATGCTAATCCAAAAATTTCAAAACATTTTTAATTATACTACTTTTCTTTCTTAAAGGAGTAATTTATTACTGTTAACTAGGAAAGTAATATATACCTTTAGCTGCCAGAAACAATTACTGTATATACTTTATCACCGAAGCTACATAAAATAAAACTGTTGGAATGTACCTATTAAATTTTTTTTTTTTCAAAATAAAAGTAGTTTTTGAGTATTACCAGTTTGTGAAGCATAATTTATTACTAAGGCATCCAAACATACAAGTGTACACCATCTGCAGCTCCAGTACATGTCAATCATGACGATGAGATGAAAGTTATTTACAATAATGAGTTTAATGTACACATACACAGCACACTTGTCCCTCAAACTACTATAAATGGCAATAGCAAGACTCTTAACAAGAATGAATTCATTCAGCTTAAAACCCTTTCACAGATCAGTTATTTAAATGCTAATTACTGTAACTTGATATTACATTGCAATGAGGCACCAGACAGTAAGGAACAAACTGAGATTCACGTTCATGTAGGTATGAATGCCAAATGGAAAAAAAACTGATGGTCTTGGCCACTGACTGAATAAATGTTACTTATGGCAATTTGTAATACATATTTATCTTTTAAAACACAAACACACACACAACCCTCTCATTAACGGACTAATAGGTAGGGGGGTGTGTAAAATATTGCTGATTTTTTGCAACTTCCAGCTTGTGAAATTAATTTTTTATGATTGTCAGGATGTCTTCTGAAATTAGTGAATTTGGTTCCCTAATGCAGAGGGAAACCAGACACTAAGAATATGGGTATTGCAATTACTATACAGTACTGAACTGTATAGTAATTACATAATACTATACATAATTTACCAAAATTTTACTTTATGTAACTGGGTTTTCCTTTCATTTGTAATTTGTGCCAAGGCATGGCTCCCATGTTTTTGAGTGTGGAACCTCTGTGCCCGTAAGCCAGAGCTCAGGCCTGCCATCACACTGTATACATCTCTCTCTATAGATCTGGCTCTGGCTACTTCTATACCCTGAATAGTGTAACCAACATGGGCAATCAACTGCTATCTAGCAGCTGTGCTTTAACTGTATCCTGCCCAGCTTCTACATGCCAGTTACCAAGCTACTAATCCCTTAATCAATAGACAAGGTGAATTGTCCATATCAACACTACTAAAACACACCAGTACATTACATTTTCATGGAAAGGGTGCATGTGGATGTGAAAGAGGGTGGGAATGAAAAAAGGAGGCGCACGTGCGAGTGTGTGTGTGTGTACTCGCCTAGTTGTGGTTGCAGGGGTCGAGTCACAGCACTGGCCACTATTAGCTCACTCTTCCTGCTCCATGAGCTTTATCATACCTCCTCTTAAAGCTATGTATGGATCCTACCTCTACTACATCGCTTCCCTGACTATTCCACTTCCTGACAACACCGACTGAAGAAATACTTCCAAACATCCCTGTGATTCATCTGAGTCTTCAATTTCCAACTGTGACCCCTTGTTGCTGTGCCCCATCTCTGGAACATCTTGTCGATTTCTCTCGGTATTTTATGTCGTTATCATATACCCCCCCATCTCTCCTGTCCTCCAGTGTCGTCAGGTCAATATCCCTTAACCTCTCCTCGTAGGACATACCCCTTAGCTCTGGGACTAGTCTTGTTGCAAACCTTTGCACTTTCTCTAGTTTCCTTATGTGCTTGGTTAGGTGTAAGTTCCAAACTGGTGCTGCATGCTCCAATATGGGCCTAACATACAAAATGTACAGGGTCCTGAACAATTCCTTATTAGCCCCTTGACTGTCGCAACCCCCAAACCTGAAGTGTCTCATGGTGTCGCAAAATTTCAAAAAAAAAAAAAAATTATTTTCTTATGAAATGATAAGAGAATCTTTTCCCGATTGTAATGACACCAAAAACATGAAATTTGATGTTAAACTGACGGGATTACGCTCTCGCGAAGTTAGTGACCTCGGCGTTATTTACAAATCAGCGATTTCGCGCACTTTGAGCCCTATTTTCGGCTAATTCCATTGTTCCAGTCGACCAAACTCACAGCTATTTCTTTAGAACTCCATTTTTTCTATCGACTGAGTACAAGAAACTGCCCATTTACCAATTTCAACTACCCAATAATGTGGTCAGAAATTTGCAATTTGGCCAATTTCATGAAAATTAAAAAATATGACAATTTCAAAATAAGGTCCAGAATGAACAATGCAGACATTCCTGGCTCTAAAATAACATTTTCTTTGTTCATCAGTCACGTCTCCAAGCCCCTCTGATATTACTCTTGCTTTCTATTTTGAATTTTTATTCAAACAAAAATTAGAAGATTTACTGTTATGCAGACTACTGCAATACTGTAATAATTGTATAAATAACATCAACTCATTCATGACTGCATATTAGAATGGCTAGTTGGGCATTTATTGGACTATGACATCATTTGTTTACTTTTGAACATCGGCAAAAATCAAACATTTCCCCTACTTTGAGGTCCATTTCCAGGTTCTTTTTATAGTAAAATCAATCAAAATCACCTCTATTTCTAAATCACCTCTATTTCTATGTTTACAATTCTATCAAATGAGACCAAGAAAATGAGAATACAACCATAAATACTATATGAAAATAGACCACAAAGTCGGCATTTTAATTAAAAAAAACGGTCGGAGTTTTTTTTCCTCATTATGCACTGCATGCTCCAGGATTTTTTTTTATATGGTGCACACTGACCACACAGACCCATTCTCTCACATGTGGGCCTACCAGCTTTCTCCTGCTTGATTTGAAGCTGCTAGAATTTATGAGTATACAGTGGTCCCTCGTTTTTCGTAATTAATCCGTTCCTGGAGGAGCTACTATAAACAAAATTTACGATTTGCGAATCAATTTTCCCCATAAGAAATAATGTAAATACAATTAATCCGTTTCTGACACCCAGAAGTATTAAAACAAAAAAATTTTTTACATGAAATATACATGTAGTACATAAACAATACAATGGGAAATGTTGAATGAAACATTAACAGCATAACACTTACCTTTATTGGAGATTCTTCTTAGTGTATGGGAGACTGGAGGAGGAGAGAGATTGGATTGTTTACAGTTTGGAAGGGGAATTCCCTTCCGGCAACACCTCAGGTACCAGTTGCTTCTCTTCTCTGTTTCTTAATGCCACTAGGACCACCTTGAGAGTCACTCTAGTCCTGTTTCACAAAGTAACTGTGGAGAGAGCTCTGTTTCTGGCATCTCTTTAACACTTCCCTAAAATGGCCCAAGACTTTGTCACTGTACATATTTCTCACCTTCTTTACCACAGGCTTGGCACTAGGAGCTTTCTTTGGAGCCATGGTAGCTTATTTAGTACTTGCAAGCACTAAAATGAGTGGAATATTATGAAATATTTCATAGGAGCACTTGAAGGGACCTTCAATCACTGGTAAACAATGCCAGACTGGCTGGGTAGGGAGGCCTCCCCGGCTCACACCGTGCGTACGTGTCCCGGACGAACTACTATATGCGAGTCAACCTATGAAAAGCGAGTCCATGTTTATACGAAAATACCCCTATGATTGGCGAAATTTATGATTGCCGAGAACTACGAAAAGCGAGGGACCACTGTATATACGTCAAACACGGTACCTCGTAAGACGTATATATACGACGTCGACAGTCAAAAGGTTAATTAAGATGTTGGAATGCTGTTCTTAGGTTTGCTAGGCGCCCATAAGCTACAGCAGTTATTTAATGGTTGATGTGCGCCTCAGATGTGCTCAGTGTGTGCACACGTATGTTCCCGGGAGGGGGGGTGGTTTCAGAAAGCGTGACTGGGTGTGAATATCAGGGTGAGGGGTGGGTGATTAAGAAAGGTGTGAATGTGGGTGGTTATGAAAGAGAGTGGGAATGTGGGTGCGTGGGCATGAGAGGGTGGCTTTCAGAACACATGTCGGGGTAGTGGGTATATGGTTAGGGGTGGGTGGTCATGAAAGAGGGTGTGAGTATGGGTGGGTGAGGGGGGTAGATAAGTGGTCGAGAGGGGAAATAGGTGGGTGGATGTTAAGTGTGAAGGTGAATTGACTGGTGTGAGAGATGAGTAAGAGTGAGTGTATGTTTGTGTGATCACAGGTGTATGGGGACAGATGAATGAATGTCTTTAACAGGAATTTTTTCCCTGGGCTCTCACCTACCTCCCTGCCTTACCAACTCTGCCCCTCTACCCAGTAACCAACACAATATAATTAGTACATACACAGTACAGATACTCAATAATAATAATAAAAAAAAAAAAGCTCTTTATACAAGCAGGGAGAGGGGCAGTGAATCAGTGAGAGATGAAGAGGCCTTCCTCCTTGGCTCCCAGCCAACATCCCTCCCCCTTCCCCTATGATGGGGCAGGATCCCTCATTGGCTCAGAGGTGAGCCATCCATCCACCTACCCTCCTTTTCTCCTCCCTGCCTGACAACCACTAACAGCTAACACATCATAAATAATAAATCTACAATTCCTCACCAATCTTTACCAAATAAATGTAAGCTCTTTATACACACATACAGGGTACATACACACAGTATGAATGCATTTGAGAAACTGAGATAAAAAATAAAGTTATCAGTAGTAAATCATGCTAATGGACAAAATTCAGAATTACAGACTTTTCTCCATTCTACCTGGTAATTAGAGCATTTGTCCAGCCAATTTTTTGTCCGAAGTTGCTGAAATCCGTTAATGAGAGGTTTTACTGTATATATAAAATATCAAATTGTGTAAATGTAGGGGAGTTGCACATATCTGACTACAGTACTATCATAAATACAGCAATATGTCATAATTTGATCTCTTCCACACAATCTCTTATTACTCAAAAGGAAGCCTAATAAAATTTTCTTTGCCTTGGCAGTATAAATATTTAGCAATTATGTATCAAACATCACTTTTGATATGTTGTCATTTTAAGTATAAAATATATTATACAAGAAACCCCAACTAACTGGATCATATTACTCCTTAACATCACATGTGTATACATCTCTTATAAAGCAATGAACTTTAAAGATCTCAGTGGCATTAATATATGAAACACCATGGATCATAAATTAAGACCAATTGTAAAATACTTAAGTGTTGACTGTTAACAAGAGTCTACATTTATGAGACAGGCTTAAAAGATAAGTGTCACTGCCCTGGAAGTTGGAACTGTATTGCTATCACAGTTTTTGACATTGACTAAACATAGTGTCTCAGTTAAAGAACACTAGTGAATCTTGATTGGAATTTGTCATTACCACTGACGAGGCGGAAGACACCCAAGATCTGCTATTAACAGAATCGCTTAAGACATAAGTTAACAAGTGCACAGATTGGTTGTCTTATACTTCCAGTCCACACACACATAATAGGCAAAAATTGCTCTAACTTTCATTAAAAAACAAGTATTGGTCCTTTACTTATATTTCACATTAATTTTTCAAATATTTAAAACACTGAAAATTAAATAATAATTCAGTAATGGTTTATGTATTGTACCTTAGTATTCAAATTAAAATTCATATCTAAAACCAAAAATTTATAAAACATTTTGCACATGCATTTTTTAAAAAAAAATATTGAAGCTGCAACACTATTTGGTATTTGAAAAAGGACGAAAATAATTTAATATTAAACTCACATACAGTTCAATACCTTCATTATGACAATCATTTTAGTCATTTTATTTCAAATATACACAAATTCACAAAAAAAAAAAAAGTAAATTGACAATGTTATATAAGGTATCACATTTTTATCATAACCACATATCACATACTTCACATACAATCCTTTCATGCTTATGTTAAAAAATTGACTTTAATTTTTCCAGATGACTCACTCTACAGCAAATCCACAAGTTTCCTCTACAGCTTGAGTAAGCTTCTCAAGCATCTTACTGTAAGACTCGTATGGAGGAAGATCAATGCGATTGAAACATGTATGAGCCTTTGGTAGGTTTTCTGAAAAATAAATAAGTTTTATAACATTTCTTATACCTTTTAATAAAATTATTTTCATAAAACAAATTTTAACAGCATACAGTGTGAATTGAATATCATAAAATCCACTAATTCCATAACATGTTATGAACTTCTTATGTTTACTAGTAGTAGCTACTATTTTCATAAGTTTTAATAATTACCTAAATGTCTATTACACACAGTACTGCTTAATATGGTACTAATTAATTTTATCTGCAGTACAAGTTTTATTTAACCCTTTCAGTGACTGTCAGGTAGAACCACATAACTAAGGCCTGGGTCCCTCACTTAGTTCTACGTGTCACGAGCTCAGCTCACTCGGATAAGCTGTGAGTGGTAAGTTTTGGCCTAGATATGAGGGAATGGGTCTATGCAGTGAGTGTGTCCAGTATTAAAAAAACAGAAGTCCTGCTCAATGCAGTGCATAATGAGAAAAGCAAAAAACTGACCACATCTGGTTTAAAATAGTGACTTTTGCATTGTTTTCCAGGATATTTTTCATAGGCTTATTGGATGTTTCTTGGTATGATGAAAGACATACTACTGCAACAGAGATGATTTTATTTGATTTCAGAACTGAAAGAAACTTGAAACTGGGCTCAAAATAGCAGAAATATTCAAGTTTTGCTGATTTTCCTGAGGACAGGTAAGGACCTCATGTCTGTTTTATGATAAGGTTTTTGAATAGGTCTGAGCCAATAAGTGGGATGCCATCAACCATGACCAGTCATTCCTGCTTATATTTTATTATCCTGGAAATAGAATAAATCTTCTATTTTTTTGTGATTATGAATTCAAAATGGAAAGCAAGTATAATTAATATAGATAGGCCTGGAAAAATGACTAATAAACAGAGGAAATGTTTTAGTGCCAAAAATGTCTGCATTTTTAAATTGGTATTTTTAATTATGTGTAAAACTGGCCAAATGAGCGACTTCTGTAATAGATGAATGGAAGGCATACTAGCAAATTAGCTAAGAACTTGGTCCAATGGAGCAAAGGAATCAACTTAATATAGGACTCAAAATCGCTTTGTAAATTGCATCCAGACTGCTAACTTTGCACCTCCATAATCCCATAAGTTCTCTATCAAATTTCATAATTGTGGTGTCATTACCTTGAATAATATTTTCTACCATTTCAGATTTTTTTTTTTTTAAAGTGAACGCTGGAAGCAACATTAATTTTTGTGGTCTGGACAGTGAAAGGGTTAAATTGTAAATTAATATTTCTGCAATAACTTAATTCTGCCAAAAAGGCTGGGACCTGTATTAATCATACTGTACTGAGAGAAGGAAGCACAGGTGACAGCATTCCACAGAGACCTTGGTAACTTCCTGTATATTTTCAGACTTACATGGACCATTTTATTTTCCCATCAGAAACTCTCCGAAAATATGCCATAAAATTTGTACCAAAATAAATCTAAATTTATAAAATTACGAAGGCTATAAATTATGCAGTGCTGTGATATGCATGTTTATAGGACGTACATGTTTATACAGGGGCAACTGATATATTAGATCATTACATATTTAGTTGTAGCTACAGAGTAAGAGGTAGATGGGACAAGAGGAAAATGGCAACAAGAAGTAAGAGAGAGGTGAAAGCATAAAAACTAAGGGAGAAAGGTGGGCTGGTGCAAGTATGAGCAGTGGAGGGGTTGAAGAGGGTTGGAATAGTTTTAAAAATGCAGCATTAGAATGTAGGGCAAAAGTTTGTGGTTATAGGAGGGTGGGTGCAGGAGGAAAGAGGAGTGATGAAGTAAAGGGTGTGATAAAAGAGAAAAAGGTAGCTTATGAGAGGTTTTTACAAACCAGAAGTGTTTTAAGAATAGCAGAGTACAGTGGACCCCGCCTTACGATCAGCTCCCAACTCGAACAATTATGTAAGTGTATTTTTGTAAGTGCTTTTGTACATGTATTTTTGGGGGTCTGAAATGGACTAATCTAATTTACAACATTCCTTATGGGAACAAATTCGTTTGGTAACAGTGCCTGAACAGACTTCTGGAATGAATTAATATCATAAGTTGGGGGTCCACTGTACAGGTCTCCCTCAACATTCGCGAGGGTTAGGGGATCAAGAGCCTCGCGAATGTTGAAAAATCGTGAATGTTTGGTGCCCCAATATATTGTAGAGAAATATATTACAATACTGCTTCCTTAACTTGTTGAACCATGAATAATCATAAAATACATGAAAACGTTGTAAATTGTACTAAATATATACATGTTATGCTTTAATAATGTATGTTATTTAATAACATGTATGGAAAAGAATCTTTCCTCCGTAAGCCATGCGTGTCGTATGAGGCGACTAAAATGCCGGGAGCAATGGGCTAGTAACCCCTTCTCCTGTATACATTTACTAAAAAAGAGAAGAAGAAAAACTTTATAAAACTGGGTTGTTTAAATGTGCGTGGATGTAGTGCGGATGACAAGAAACAGATGATTGCTGATGTTATGAATGAAAAGAAGTTGGATGTCCTGGCTCTAAGCGAAACAAAGCTGAAGGGGGTAGGAGAGTTTCAGTGGGGGGAAATAAATGGGATTAAATCTGGAGTATCTGAGAGAGTTAGAGCAAAGGAAGGGGTAGCAGTAATGTTAAATGATCAGTTATGGAAGGAGAAAAGAGAATATGAATGTGTAAATTCGAGAATTATGTGGATTAAAGTAAAGGTTGGATGCGAGAAGTGGGTCATAATAAGCGTGTATGCACCTGGAGAAGAGAGGAATGCAGAGGAGAGAGAGAGATTTTGGGAGATGTTAAGTGAATGTATAGGAGCCTTTGAACCAAGTGAGAGAGTAATTGTGGTAGGGGACTGAATGCTAAAGTAGGAGAAACTTTTAGAGAGGGTGTGGTAGGTAAGTTTGGGGTGCCAGGTGTAAATGATAATGGGAGCCCTTTGATTGAACTTTGTATAGAAAGGGTTTAGTTATAGGTAATACATATTTTAAGAAAAAGAGGATAAATAAGTATACACGATATGATGTAGGGCGAAATGACAGTAGTTTGTTGGATTATGTATTAGTAGATAAAAGACTGTTGAGTAGACTTCAGGATGTACATGTTTATCGAGGGGCCACAGATATATCAGATCACTTTCTAGTTGTAGCTACACTGAGAGTAAAAGGTAGATGGGATACAAGGAGAACAGAAGCATCAGGGAAGAGAGAGGTGAAGGTTTATAAACTAAAAGAGGAGGCAGTTAGGGTAAGATATAAACAGCTATTGGAGGATAGATGGGCTAATGAGAGCATAGGCAATGGGGTCGAAGAGGAATGGGGTAGGTTTAAAAATGTAGTGTTAGAGTGTTCAGCAGAAGTTTGTGGTTACAGGAAAGTGGGTGCAGGAGGGAAGAGGAGCGATTGGTGGAATGATGATGTAAAGAGAGTAGTAAGGGAGAAAAAGTTAGCATATGAGAAGTTTTTACAAAGTAGAAGTGATGCAAGGAGGGAAGAGTATATGGAGAAAAAGAGAGAGGTTAAGAGAGTGGTGAAGCAATGTAAAAAGAGAGCAAATGAGAGAGTGGGTGAGCTGTTATCAACAAATTTTGTTGAAAATAAGAAAAAGTTTTGGAGTGAGATTAACAAGTTAAGGAAGCCTAGAGAACAAATGGATTTGTCAGTTAAAAATAGGAGAGGAGAGTTATTAAATGGAGAGTTAGAGGTATTGGGAAGATGGAGGGAATATTTTGAGGAATTGTTAAATGTTGATGAAGATAGGGAAGCTGTGATTTCGTGTATAGGGCAAGGAGGAATAACATCTTGTAGGAGTGAGGAAGAGCCAGTTGTGAGTGTGGGGGAAGTTCGTGAGGCAGTAGGTAAAATGAAAGGGGGTAAGGCAGCCGGGATTGATGGGATAAAGATAGAAATGTTAAAAGCAGGTGGGGATATAGTTTTGGAGTGGTTGGTGCAATTATTTAATAAATGTATGGAAGAGGGTAAGGTACCTAGGATTGGCAGAGAGCATGCATAGTTCCTTTGTATAAAGGCAAAGGGGATAAAAGAGAGTGCAAAAATTATAGGGGGATAAGTCTGTTGAGTGTACCTGGTAAAGTGTATGGTAGAGTTATAATTGAAAGAATTAAGAGTAAGACGGAGAATAGGATAGCAGATGAACAAGGAGGCTTTAGGGAAGGTAGGGGGTGTGTGGACCAGGTGTTTACAGTGAAACATATAAGTGAACAGTATTTAGATAAGGCTAAAGAGGTCTTTGTGGCATTTATGGATTTGGAAAAGGCGTATGACAGGGTGGATAGGGGGGCAATGTGGCAGATGTTGCAAGTGTATGGTGTAGGAGGTAGGTTACTGAAAGCAGTGAAGAGTTTTTACGAGGATAGTGAGGCTCAAGTTAGAGTATGTAGAAAAGAGGGAAATTTTTTCCCAGTAAAAGTAGGCCTTAGACAAGGATGTGTGATGTCACCATGGTTGTTTAATATATTATTAGATGGGGTTGTAAGAGAAGTAAATGCGAGGGTCTTGGCAAGAGGCGTGGAGTTAAAAGATAAAGAATCACACACAGGGTGGGAGTTGTCACAGCTGCTCTTTGCTGATGACACTGTGCTCTTGGGAGATTCTGAAGAGAAGCTGCAGAGATTGGTGGATGAATTTGGTTAGGGTGTGCAAAAGAAGAAAATTAAAGGTGAATACAGGAAAGAGTAAGGTTATGAGGATAACAAAAAAGATTAGGTGATGAAAGATTGAATATCAGATTGGAGGGAGAGAGTATGGAGGAGGTGAACGTATTCAGATATTTGGGAGTGGACGTGTCAGCGGATGGGTCTATGAAAGATGAGGTGAATCATAGAATTGATGAGGGAAAAAGAGTGAGTGGTGCACTTAGGAGTCTGTGGAGACAGAGAACTTTGTCCTTGGAGGCAAAGAGGGGAATGTATGAGAGTATAGTTTTACCAACGCTCTTATATGGGTGTGAAGCATGGGTGATGAATGTTGCAGCGAGGAGAAGGCTGGAGGCAGTGGAGATGTCATGTCTGAGGGCAATGTGTGGTGTGAATATAATGCAGAGAATTCGTAGTTTAGAAGTTAGGAGGAGGTGCGGGATTACCAAAACTGTTGTCCAGAGGGCTGAGGAAGGGTTGTTGAGGTGGTTCGGACATGTAGAGAGAATGGAGCGAAACAGAATAACTTCAAGAGTGTATCAGTCTGTAGTGGAAGGAAGGCGGGGTAGGGGTCGGCCTAGGAAGGGTTGGAGGGAGGGGGTAAAGGAGGTTTTGTGTGCGAGGGGCTTGGACTTCCAGCAGGCATGCGTGAGCGTGTTTGATAGGAGTGAATGGAGACAAATGGTTTTTAATACTTGACGTGCTGTTGGAGTGTGAGCAAAGTAACATTTATGAAGGGATTCAGGGAAACCGGCAGGCCGGACTTGAGTCCTGGAGATGGGAAGTACAGTGCCTGCACTCTGAAGGAGGGGTGTTAATGTTGCAGTTTAAAAACTGTAGTGTAAAGCACCCTTCTGGCAAGACAGTGATGGAGTGAATGATGGTGAAAGTTTTTCTTTTTCGGGCCACCCTGCCTTGGTGGGAATCGGCCAGTGTGATAATAAAAAAAAAAAATGTTATTAAATACCACAGACTCCACCACTGCCTCCACCATTGCAAGTCCCTACTACCCTTCCTCCGACCCCCGCAACTGGCAGCCAGCCCTCCCACCACTCAGTGTGGTGAGTGTTTTGTTTGTTCATTATTTGCTATTAAACTACAGAATAAATAATGTAAACCCATTCATGACTGCATATTGGAATGGCTATTAGGAAAGGTATTAGACGGTGACATCATGTGTTTACTCTTTAACACAGCAAAGAATCGAACATTTCTGCTATTGCTAATAATAACAATAGTAATAATAATAATAATAAATACAATATAATTGAAGAAGAAAATTGTACAAAAATATGAGGGAGTGGTTGACACAGCGTCAGTGTGACTTTGTTTATGCTGAAGTGAACATTAGTCTCCCTGCTCTTCCAAACATTTCACAATAATTCAGCAGTTGAGGCAGTGGTATTTAATAACATATATGTTATAAATAATAATAGTACATATTATTAACAACATGGATTATTATTAACATGTATGTTATTAAATACTATTGCCTCAATCACTGCCTCTACCACTCCAGTCACACTCAATCTACAAGCACCAAACACAATGAATTATTGTGAAATGTTTGGAAGAGCAGGGAGACTAATGTTCACTCCAGCATAAACAAAGTCACACTGACGATGTGTCAACCACTCCCTCGTATTTTTGTACAATTTCCTTCTTCAATTATATCATATTTATTATTATTATTGTTATTATTATTATTACTATTGTTATTATTAGCTGTAGCAGAAATGTTTAATTCTTTGCAGTGTTCAAGAGTAAACACATGATGTCACCGTCTAATACCTGTCCGAATAGCCATTCCAATATGCAATCATGAATGGGTTTACATTATTTATACTGTAGTTTAATAGCAAATAATGAACAAACAAAACACTCACCACACTGAGTGGTGAGAGGGCTGGCTGCCAGTTGCTGGGGTCGGAGGGAGGGTAGTAGGGACTCGCAGGTGGCGGGAAACTTAAATATGATTTGGCGGCTGGGAATTTGGTGGCTGGGAATTCGTGAATGTGTGAAGCCCGTGAAAGTTGAAAACGTGAATGTTGAGGGAGACCTGTATATGGAGAGTAAAAGAAAGGGGAAGAGAGTGGTGAGAGAGTGCAAAAGGAGAGCAGATGATAAGAGTGGGAGAGGCACTGTCAAGAAATTTTAATAAAAATAAGAAAAGATTTTGGAGTTAAACAATTTAAGAAAGCCTAGAGAACGAATGGATTTGTCAGTTAAAAACAGAGTAGAGGAGTTAGTAGACGGGGAGATGGAGGTATTGGGTAGATGGCGCGAATATTTTGAGGAACTTTTAATATCGACGAAGAAAGGGAGGCAGTAATTTCATGCAGTGGCCAGAGAGGTATACCATCTTTTAGGAGTGAAGAAGAGCAGGATGTGAGTGTAGGTGAAGTGCATGAGGAATTATGTAGAATGAAAGGGGGTAAAGCAGCTGGAACTGACAGGATCATGACAGAAATGTTAAAAGCAACGGGGGATAGTGTTGGAGTGGTTGGTATTTTTTTGTTTAATAAATGTATGAAAGAGGGGAAGGTACCTAGGGATTGGCAGAGAGCATGTATAGTCCCTTTATATAAAGGGAAGGGGGGACAAGAGAGATTGTAAAAATTATAGAGGAATTAGTTTACCGAGTATACCAGGAAAAGTGTATGGTAGGGTTATTATTGAAAGAATTAGAGGTAAGACAGAATGTAGGATTGCGGATGACCAAGAAGGTTTTAGAGTGGGTAGGGGATGTGGAGATCAAGTGTTTACATTGAAGCATATATGAGAACAGTATTTAGATAAAGGTAGGGAAGTTTTTATTGCATTTATGGATTTAGGAAAGGCATATGATAGAGTGGAGAGGGGAGCAATGTGGTAGATGTTGCAAGTACAGTGGACCCCCGGTTTACAATCAGCTCCCAATGCGACCAATTATGTAAGTGTATTTATGTAAGTGCGTTTGTATGTGTATGTTTGGGGGTCTGAAATGGACTAATCTAATTCACAATATTCCTTATGGGAACAAATTTGGTCAGTACTGGCACCTGAACATACTTCTGGAATGAAATAATATCGTAAACCGGGGGTCCACTGTATATGGAATAGATGGTAAGTTGCTAAATGATGTAAAGAGTTTTTATGAGGATAGTGAGGCTCATGTTAGGGTGTGTAGAAGAGAGGGAGACTACTTCCCAGTAAAAGTAGGTCTTAGACAGGGATGTGTAATGCCACCATGGTTGTTTAATATATTTACAGATGGGGTTGTAAAAGAAGTAAATGCTAGGGTGTTCGGGAGATGGGTGGGATTAAATTATGGGGAATCAAATACAAAATGGGAATTGACACGGTTACTTTTTGCTGATGATACTGTGCTTATGGGAGATTCTAAAGAAAAATTGCAAGGGTTAATGGACGATTTCTTGCAAAGGTTAGTGGATGAGTTGGGAGTGTGTGTAAAGGTAGGAAGTTGAAAGTGAACAAAGAATAGAGTAAGGTGATGAGGATATCAAATGACTTGGATAAAGAAAAATTGGATATCAAATTGGGGAGGAGGAGTATGGAAGAAGTGAATGTTTTCAGATATCTGGGAGTTGACGTGTTGGTGGATAGATTTATGAAGGATGAGGTTGATCATAGAATTGATGAAGGAAAAAAGGCAAGTGGTGCATTGAGGTATATATAGATGCAAAGAAGGGAATGTATGAAAATATAGTAGTACCATCACTCTTATATGGGTGTGACGCTTGGGTTGTAAATGCTACAGCAAGGAGGCAGTGGAGATGTCCTGTCTAAGGGCAATATGGGGTGTAAATATTATGCAGAAAATTCAGGAGTGTGGAAATTAGGTGGTGTGGAGTTAATAAAAATATTAGTCAGAGGGCTGAAGAGGGGTTGTTGAGGTGGTTTGGTCATTTAGAGAAAACGGATCAAAGTAGAATGACATGGAGAGCGTATAAATCTGTAGGGGAAGGAAGGTGGGGTAAGGGTCGTCCTCGAAAAGGTTGGAGGGAGGGGGTAAAGGAGGTTTTGTGGGCAAGGGGCTTGGACTTCCAGCATGCGTGCATGAGCGTTTCAGATAGGAGTAAATGGAAATGAATGGTATTTGGGACCTGACAAGCTGTTGGAGTGTGAGCAGGGTAATATTTAGTGAAGGGATTCAGGGAAACCAGTTATTTCTATATAGCCAGACTTAAGTCTTGGAAATGGGAAGTACAGTGCCTGTACTTTAAAGGAGGGGTTTGGGATATTGACAGTTTGGAGGGATACGTTGTGTATCTTTATACGAATATGCTTCTAAACTGTTGTATTCTGAGCACATCTGCAAAAACAGTGATTATGTGTGAGTGAGGTGAAAGTGTTGAATGATGATGAAAGTATTTTCTTTTTGGGTCACCCTGCCTCGGTGGGAGACGGCCAACTTATTAAAAAAAAAAATTAAATACTACATCCTAAAAGGTTTTATAGCACCAGAGGATTAAAGGAGAGTGACATTCAATGGCAAACACCTGTAACACAATGGTAGAGCACTCGGCTCACAACTGAAAGAAGACTCGAGTTTGATTCTCAGGCAGGGTGATGTATGGGCAAGTTGCTTTACATCCGCTGCCCTTTACCCAGCAATAAATAGGTTGACTGGTGAAGGGGAGGTGATACAGCATCTGGAGAAATGGGAGGCAATTAGGTTAAATCCAAAGAAGGAAGGACCAGGTTCAATTCCTTGCATTAACATTATTAAGTCAACAGCCATCTCCAGCCAAGGAAGGGTGACCCAAGTAAAACACATTCAGCATCATTCATTCAACAGCTTTCCAGAAGTGTGCCAACATCAAAATCAGATTACCCTCCAACTGCAACATCCTTACCCCTCCTTCAGAATGCAGGCACTGCCCTTCTCACCTCCAGGACTAGCCCAGCTAACCAGTTTCCCTAAAACCATTCATAAAAGTTACCTTGCTAACATTCCAACAGCACCTCCATTATATTCAATCTAACATCTCAGTTTTTCAAATTTCTAGTACCTGTTGGAGCATCAATCTGATGAATGGTGAAAAGTCTGGGTCCTGCAGCACCAGTTGAGCCCTGCAGTGCTTTAAAACCTTGCAGTGGCACTCGTGAGGATCCTGTGACAAACTGCAGCAATCTTGCACGCATTTCCTCAGTGTAGGAGTCAACTATCTGCCAAAACCAGCCAACCACTGGGGTCTCTGGAGTGCAGTGCTGTTCGTAAATAAAAATAAATTATGAAATCTTTTAATTTTTTTAACACATCAGCCGTTTCCCACCGAGGTGGAGTGACCTAAAAAAGAAGAAACACTATCATCATCACTTACTCCATCACTGCCCTGCCAGGGGCATGCCTATATTACAGTTCAAAACTGCAACATGTCTCCACCCCTCCTTCAGAGTGCAGGCATTGTACTTTCACCTCTCTCCTCTAATTTAATTTTTTTGTGGGGAATATCTTACCTAGTCTCACAATTTTTTTTTTAGCAAAATGTTTTCTTACATTTACATTTAAAAAGTACAATTTTTATAGTTGCATACCCTTTAAATTATAAAAAAAAAATATATTAGACATACTGAATACTCTATGTCCCATGGCCCTTTTTCATCCTTACTGAAGATTTTGTGCTATTCTGTGGTGAGTTATGCAACATGTAATTCTGATAACTAATTGTATAGATAATGATACAATAGACAAGATTAACAACTTCTAAGAAGCACATAGGAAAGTACAGTACAACAGAAGTTCCTAAGATTTATCAGTCATCTCTCATGTTCATGAGACAAAGATCAGCAATCCTGCCAGAGTGCCAAAACATATCATTTTTCCATTTTACACATTTATCTACAAAATTAGCTTGTAGATAACAAGCAATATGACAACAAAGCTCATGGATCCACGTATGCTGAGGAAGTACAGGAGGGCCCCACTTATACGGTAGGTTAGGTTCCAGACTACTACTGCAAAGTGAAAATAGCCGTAAAGCGAATAATTTTTTCACTTTCAAATGCATATAAATGACTGGTAACATGTTTACACTATTATATATTAATTCAGCAATAGAACTAGACCTAAAAAAACAATGAAGTAATATGCACATACAGGGCAAAATGCAAATAGTATTTAATAAATTGTAGGAAATCAGATGAAACCAGACTCTGCTAGATTCAAATTTATCTTCAGCAGCTTCCTTACTGAATTGAAGAGATTTAGACCTTGGAGTGAATAATGGTTCAGCTTGAAGGCACGTTGTGACTAGTTTGATCTTCAATCCACACCAATAAGTTTTTTCCATGTCAGCAATAAGGGTATCACATTTTCTTATAACTTTAGTATTTACTGATGTAGCACTTTTAATTTCCTGTAACACTTTCTCCTTAGGTGTCGTCATATCACAAAAATAGTACAGTGGACTCCCGTGTTTCAATGGCTGTGACTTTCGTGAAATCCGACTTTTGGCAACTTTTTTCATCAAAATATAACCTCGCGGTTCATGACTGGCCTCGTGATTTGGCGACCATCTGGTACACGTCTGAGCGGCATCCCAGCATCTCCCGCACCATTCACACTCAGTATGCCATTGTTTATCAGTGAGTGACCATCACCCCACGGGTTCATATGATACATTTCATAATACACCTACCATCCGACTTACAACCAAGCTTGGTTCCGACCAACCGGTCGTAAGTCAAAATGGACGTAAGTCTAACCTTTGAAAATTGCTGACATACTGGGTAGGGCATAATGTCAAACTTTTCCTATATAAACTACCTACATAGTACTGTAATGTAATGTACAATCATTATTTAATTTTTTGTGATGAATGGTTTGAAAAACTGACAAGTTGAAGATTGAGACACATATGCAGCATATGGGAATCTTTATTCAGGAAACGTTTTGCCACACAGTGGCTTCTTCAGTCCAATACAAAGAGGAAGGCATAAGGAGAGGAGGAGAATGAGGTAATCACTCTCCTTATGCCTTCCTCTTTGTATTGGACTGAAGAAGCCACTGTGTGGCGAAACGTTTCCTGAATAAAGATTCCCATATGCTGCATATGTGTCTCAATCTTCAACTTGTCGGTTTTTCAAACCATTCATCACAACTGTCAGACACTGCAGCATCATGGGATCTTGTTACAAAGAATTCTTCAACACTTGTTCAACCTTTGGACGAAGACCTACTTCGACTAGTGGATGGTACCACTATGACCCCGCCTCCGCCTGCTTCACCTCACATCACTACAGTATATAAGCCACGTCTACGGCCCTATGCTGTACATTCTACAAGATTGATGGACTGAACACATCGACTCCAGGTTGAGGGACTGATTACCTCATTCTCCTCCTCTCCTTATGCCTTCCTCTTTGTATTGGACTGAAGAAGCCACTGTGTGGCGAAACGTTTCCTGAATAAAGATTCCCATATGCTGCATATGTGTCTCAATCTTCAACTTGTCGGTTTTTCAAACCATTCATCACAACTGTCAGACACTGCAGCATCATGGGATCTTGTTACAAAGAATTCTTCAACACTTGTTCAACCTTTGGACGAAGACCTACTTCGACTAGTGGATGGTACCACTATGACCCCGCCTCCGCCTGCTTCACCTCACATCACTACAGTATATAAGCCACGTCTACGGCCCTATGCTGTACATTCTACAAGATTGATGGACTGAACACATCGACTCCAGGTTGAGGGACTGATTACCTCATTCTCCTCCTCTCCTTATGCCTTCCTCTTTGTATTGGACTGAAGAAGCCACTGTGTGGCGAAACGTTTCCTGAATAAAGATTCCCATATGCTGCATATGTGTCTCAATCTTCATTTCATTTTTTATCATAATTTACTTCTATTGTTATATTTTAATTATTTTTTTTTATTATCACACTGGCCGATTCCCACCAAGGCAGGGTGGCCCGAAAAAGAAACTTTCACCATCATTCACTCCATCACTGTCTTGCCAGAAGGGTGCTTTACACTACAGTTTTTAAACTGCAACATTAACACCCCTCCTTCAGAGTGCAGGCACTGTACTTCCCATCTCCAGGACTCAAGTCCGGCCTGCCGGTTTCCCTGAACCCCTTCATAAATGTTACTTTGCTCACACTCCAATAGCACGTCAAGTATTAAAAACCATTTGTCTCCATTCACTCCTATTAAACACGCTCACGCATGCCTGCTGGAAGTCCAAGCCCCTCGCACACAAAACCTCCTTTACCCCCTCCCTCCAACCTTTCCTAGGCCGACCCCTACCCCGCCTTCCTTCCACTACAGACTGATACACTCTTGAAGTTATTCTGTTTTGCTCCATTCTCTCTACATGTCCGAACCACCTCAACAACCCTTCCTCAGCCCTCTGGACAACAGTTTTGGTAATCCCGCACCTCCTCCTAACTTCCAAACTATGAATTCTCTGCATTATATTCACACCACACATTGCTCTCAGACATGACATCTCCACTGCCTCCAGCCTTCTCCTCGCTGCAACATTCATCACCCATGCTTCACACCCATATAAGAGCGTTGGTAAAACTACTCTCATACATTCCCCTCTTTGCCTCCAAGGACAAAGTTCTTTGTCTCCACAGACTCCTAAGTGCACCACTCACCCTTTTCCCCTCATCAATTCTATGATTCACCTCATCTTTCATAGACCCATCCGCTGACACGTCCACTCCCAAATATCTGAATACATTCACCTCCTCTATACTCTCTCCCTCCAATCTGATATCCAATCTTTCATCACCTAATCTTTTTGTTATCCTCATAACCTTACTCTTTCCTGTATTCACTTTCAATTTTCTTCTTTTGCACACCCTACCAAATTCATCCACCAATCTCTGCAGAGATTTTAATTATTTATTTACTGTATATAATGTATACATAGTAGTGAACTGTATTGTAAATTTTACATTGCATACAGTGTATGTTACTGTTATCTTTATGTATTGTCGACACAGTGGAATGGGAGAATACCATTGGTAGTGTCATCCTGCCAGAATGTAGTATAACCTATACCCTAAGTAAAGAGAAACAACTCTGGAACATGTGTAATACATAGCTGGCCGGGTGGGTGGGTGGGTGGGAGGCCAGGTGGGTGGGAGGCCAGGTGGGTGATTGGCTGACTGAATGTGGCTCGCTCGTGCTCTCTCTGTATCTCTCCTCTCTCTATCTCTGTATCTCTCTTCTCTCTCTCTCTGTATCTCTCTTCTCTCTCTCTCTCTGTATCTCTCTCCTCTCTCTCTCTCTCTGTATCTCTCTCCTCTCTCTCTCTCTGTATCTCTCTCCTCCTCTCTCTCTCTGTATCTCTCTCCTCTCTCTCTCTCTGTATCTCTCTCCTCTCTCTCTCTCTCTCTGTATCTCTCTCTCTCTCTCTATCTCTCTCACAGGTACACGTAAGTAATCATACATAGTATAAATTACCTAGGATAACCCAAATAATCCAGACAAAGTGCTATACAGTGGATCTGTGCTCCAGTGCCCTAAATTAGTAATATTAATAATAATTATTATAACAATAATACAAATGTACCAATATTAATAATAATATTATTATTAAACTATAATATAATAATCGTGTCCACTCATTACTTACCTTAAAATATCTGTAGTCTTAATGTAGAGTGAGAGGTGAGTAAACAAGATTAAATGAATAAAGGAATGAGTGTGTAGAAGGTTGGCGAGTTATGTAAACAAACGTTGTTGTTGTTGTTACCAACCCGGACATGAATGATTCCTGTTCACTCTGTCAAGCCGACCAGAAAAATATCTCATATTTGTTAATTTATATGTTTATATGTTATGTAGCATGTTTATTATATAATTTGGAAAAAGAAATCATAGATGGATTAAGCAAAATGTCTATATCAACGTTTTATACACATTTAATGCGCCTCAGTGATGATTATTATTGTGTTATTATCATATGGCATCTTCAAGACCAATTACTCTTAATGAGTGGCTCTGAGACAGACAAGCAGACAGACAGACACTCAGGTAGACAGACACACAGGTAGACAGACACACACAGGTAGACAGACACACACAGGTAGACAGACACACAGGTAGACAGACAGACACACAGGTAGACAGAAAGACACACACAAGTAGACAGACACACAGGTAGACAGAAATACAGACACAGGTAGACAGACAGATAAACAGACACACAGAGATATACGGATATATAGGCAGACAGATACAGACA